AAAATGCTCGTCGAACTCGACAAAGAGGTCGACGTGCAACCTAATCCGTGCATCAGCCCGCTGAGTTTCTCGCCGGATCTTCTCAGTGGGTCGCGATTCCGATCCGGTAGTAGATTCATTCGCGAAGCAATTGCTCTTGAGTTATTAGGTCTCCTTCGGAAGCGCTCGGGCAGTTGTTAGCAAATCCCACCCCTCCTGGCTGAGACTTTGCTCGCCCACCTGTCCTGGTGAAGCTGGAAAGGCCTCCTCCGGGCCACCAGTAATCTTTCATTCATAAAAAAAAACTTTTTAAAATACATTGTAACAAGATCTTAACGATCTCTGATTACTTCACACTTTAATTAAAGTTGTAACTTATTAATGATTTGTTTCATAAAGTTTTATTGATTTTTACATAAAACATTTACGACGTCGGGTGAATTTGGGTTATGCGCGACCGCTGTTTCAAAATGTTGAATATACCAGTAATAGCTTACGAGGTCGCATGTGGCTGGATAATTTTTGTATACTAATTTTTTTTAGGGAAATTTGAGAGTGTAATTTTCTAGCGTAATATTGTCTATGGTAAGCACGTCAGATAACTAAAACATTTTACGAAATGTATTTACGTAACGAAATAATTCAATGAAATAAACTAAATTATTTATAATTAAAAGTCATTTTGAGACAATATGACTTGATACTGACGCCGAATTCATATCTGAAGGTGGGGGGTGGAATTCATATTTAGTATTATTAAAATATATTGATGTCGTCGTGGCTTAAAAGATAAAACGCCCGGTGCATTCGTACCTATCTAGCGATGCATCGGTGTTCGAATCCCGCAGGCGGGTACCAATTTTTCTAATGAAATACGTACTTGACAAATGTTCACGATTGACTTCTACGGTGAAGGAATAACTGTATATAATGTGTATAATAAATAATAAATGTTTGTGTAATAAAAATCAAATCCGCAAAATTATATTTTGCGTAATTACTGGTGATAGGACGTCTTGTGAGTCCGCACGGGTAGGTACCACCACTCCGCCTATTTCTGCCGTGAAGCAGTAATGTATATCGGTTCGAAGGGTGGGGCAGCCGTTGTACTGTAAAACTTAGAACTCATAAACATACAGACAAATAGCAAACAAACTAGCTCACCACACGAACGTTTTCCCTATGCGGGAATCGAACCCGTGACCTTTGGGGCAATAGTCGGGTGCGCCAACCACTGCACCACCGAGTCGGTCATTTGTTAGTAGTTTATAAATTTAACGATGTTAAAATTTCTAGAAGAATCTCTTGAACGATGTTCTAGAAATTCCTTTTGATCGTTAGAATTAAATAATATTTTGGCTTGACGTTTTCAAACACGTAATGTTTGAGACGCGTATGTTTCTCAACAACGGCCGGTGTGTTTTGTAAATTGATAAATGAGATTCGTTCGATCGTTACCGCGCTGAGTTATTATAAATATTAACTAACGTTTGATCAGTTATGATGTTACGACTGTTACGTATTGTTTTGGAATTGGCGAGCAATATCGATTAGCCTTTCCATGCACGCTACATAATGTATAGGTAGCAATGGGAGCATTCGACTGGAAACACGAATAATCCACGAATAATCGAATAATAATAAAAATGTTAATAAGCGCGCGTGCAGCTTGGTACACGTGAATGAAGAGAAACTTCTTTTCTGATGTGTAGTGTTATGGTTTTCCTCATTTTTCATCCTTAAATCAGATTGCTCTTGTAATAGGGAATGCTGTGTATAAGAGATGCGCTATCTGCAACATTTATTTTATATATATTTTAAATTATAGATAGAAAAATAAATTAATTTTTTTAAATACTTCATTAAAGTATTGGATGCTACTCGATGCTAACGCTCGCGCTGGCCTGTAACAGCTTTATTACGCGCATACGCTCGAGTGCCACGCATTCACTCTCGCTGTCTCTTTCTATTCGATGGTAGTGTTAAACATTTAACGCAACTTTGTTGGAAGTTGCATTAGAAGTTTCACTTCAATAATAAAAAGAAGAAGCACGGACTATGTTATACGTCCATAGCGAACGTATTTTCCCTGTTCTCTTCCTATCGCTTTGACACTTGACACACTAGCGAAGATTACAAAGACGAATTACAATTCTACTGGGAATTTATGTCTCATAGTGGATGGCGATATTAATATTCATCTCTGTGTGCTCTTGTAATCATTTACCATTATGATAGGTCGTGAGACAGTTTTGCATCTAAAAAATAAAATACAGTCAATCTAGTAGAGGGAAAACCTTTGGCTCGCAATGCCATTTTAAATCGCGATTCCGATCCCGCCGTAAATTCAGCGAAGCATTTTCCCAGCTGAGGCTAGTGTTAGCCATTCTCTCAGGTTGAGCCCCTTAATCGCTTAGACTACCAGCGAATAGGCAAAGAAATGGGCTCTTGCCAAGGAAGACGTTCGCAGTCTCTAAGGTTGAGTCCTGTGAGTTCGCCTACACTGGTGGCAGGACCTCTTGTGAGCCCGCATATGTAGGTACCACCGCCCTGCCTATTTCTGCCGTGAAGCAGTAATACGTTATGGTTTGAAGGGTGGGGCAGCCGTTGTAACTACATTGAGACCTTAGAACTTATGTCCCAAGGTGGGTGGCGCATTTACGTTGTAGATGTCTATGGGCCCCAGTAACCACTTAACACCAGGTGGGCTGTGAGCTTGTCCACCCTACTAAGCAATAAAAAATAAATAAATAAAAAATGTTCATTGAAGCTAGCATAACCCCGACGATACTAGCAAAAGTGAGGAAATTTAATATTTCATGCAAGTGCAAATTTTCAAGTTAATTAAACGTTTTGAAGTCCATGAAAATAACGTTCAAAGATTCTGGGACATACAAACAAATATAAATATTAGATGACAAGCTATTAAAAGCACGTCCTGCATATGTGGTTAATGGTTTTAGCATGATTTACAGTTCCCTTGTCGCATTTTATTGGCCACAAATGACATAACGCATCAAAAGTTTTCACGTATTTTTGGTAATTTGAGAGGGAATTTAGAAAAATAACAGTTATTGGTTTCCTATTGCTTTCCCAACCTTGTACCTTTAAGGTATTGCAAAATATAAATGACATTATAATATAAAGTTGTAAAATGCAATTAAAAATGTGCAATATCCGTACATTTTTATTATTATTTTAATTTGTTTTTTCTTAATAAGGTATTGTGTTAACGGATGTCCTTTGCGCAATGACAATTAAAATTAAATAAATGCAAATTGTCTCTCATGTTATTTTGTTGGCAAAAGGATATGAGTTATTAATTATATTGGTCGTATGTTGAATATTATTATGTATGTAATACACGAACATTGAAAGCTGCATTGCCGATTTATTCGTAAACTAATTTTCGATTTCAGAGGCATAAGGTCTGGTCCAGTTTATAAATTTTAAGCTTTTTATTGTTAAGTAGTCAACAGATCTCATAGACATCTATAACGTAAATGCCGTCACCCACCTTGAGACATAAGTTCTAAGTCTCAATGTATGTAGTTATAACGGCTGCCCCACCCTTCAAACCGAAACGCATTACTGCTTCACGGCAGAAATAGGCAGGGTGGTGGTACCTACCCGCGCGGACTCACAAGACGTCCTGTCACTAGTAAACAGCGTATGTTACGTATAAGCGTTGTGTTTGTGTTTTGAATATGTATTTTATAATAAACCAATGCTCTCCACATCACCCTTGAATGAGAATCTCTTAGGCATTAAGTTCGCCAACATACACTATTTAATGTTAGACGAATAAATAATGTCATATTGCGTTAATATTATAATAATAATAATAATAATAGCCTTTATTCAGACAGTATTTCATGTACATATCTTAATTTCTTTTTGTTGACAATTTTATTTTTATGTATTTTATATATCAAAGTCTTAACTCTATCCGTAACTATTTAGCATCGATCACCCCGTCTGTATGTCATTTATTGACAAAGGCTTCCTCCAACCTTTTCCATTCCTCTCTGTCTTTGGCAGTTCTTGTCCATAAGCCTCCTGCTACGGCTTTAATATCATCCACCCATCTTCTGGATGGTCTACCTCTTTTCCTCTTCATATGACTTGTGAACCAATTCATTATTGATTTTGACCATTTATCTTTGTCTCTAACTATATGACCTGACCATCTCCACTTTAGCTTTTTTATTGTTGTTGTGACATGTTATGTTTTTGTGTATTTACGTTAATATTAATAAACTTTAATTAAAAAATAATCATTGTTTTATAATGCTGAAAATAGTAAACTAATATGTCACGTTCGCATTTGGAACAATAAAAGTATGTTTGTTGAATTCTCTATACAAAATTGAATTGTAGTTTGTAAGATTAGCTTAATTTATAATTTTGTCACTTCAACATTTGTCTCTAATGGCTTTGAAGTGGATTGCAGTCATAACTCAGCGTTTTTTTATTAGAATTTCTCGAACACTACGGTCATGCCTACAAATACAAATTCCATGCGTGGGAAAAGAAGCACAGGCCTCATTATAAAATAAATATTGTTTCCTTAAGATTATTAATTTTACTGGTGGTAGGACGTGTTGTGAGTCCGCGCTGGTAGGTACCACCACCCTGCCTATTTCTGCCGTGAAGCAGTAATGCGTTTCGGTTTGAAGGGCGGGGCAGCCGTTGTAACTATACTTGAGACCTTAGAACCTAATCTCAAGGTGGGTGGCGCATTTACGTCGTAGATGTCTATGGGCTCCAGTAATCACTTAACATCAGGTGGGCTGTGAACTCGTTCACCCATCTAAGCAATAAAAAAATAAAAAAATATATATTGAAGACTCTCTCGGGCGCAAGGACGTTTCTCAAAACGTAATCCTTTTTAATAAAGAATGCATATTCTAAATGCTTGATTAAATGTAAACCGATTGTATTTTTCATTATTCACGATTAACCTATCCACAACTTCCAACAATGTTCAATGAAATAATTAAGTAAATTGTTTTTTTCAGGCAGCCAGTGCGTTGTTCACGCTGGACGGTCCAAAGAGTCAAGCCTTATCACGTCGTCTGGCCCGGGGCGAGCGTCGCCGCAGACGATGTCGAGTAGCTCTGGCGGTGCTGGCCTTACTGCTTCTGCTGGCGTCGGTGGGCGCCGTGGAGCTTATCATGTCGCGAGGACAGAGAGTCTTCGGAGCCGTCCTGCGATGAAGCTTCCAGAATTTAATTCTATCAGCTCACAGACGTCCACTGCTGGATTTAGTCGTGCTCCAAGCCACAAAGATAGGGCTTGCGCTGCTTGCATCCAGCGGATCCCCGCGAACCTCAATAGATCGTCGGTCCGTCTTGTGGGAGGCCTATCCACGCTACGTCTTCGGGTACTTTCCGACCTTACTTTCACACTCAAGTAGTTTCCGACCCCAACGGCTGAATTATAATTATAATAATAATAACATCTCGTGAGGTTTGGTCTCAACAAAAAGTCGGTGGTGGCCCAGATGCAAAAAGCAGTCTTGCTGGACATTTCCCGTATAGTTCGTCGGTTTCTCTCCCAATAGTCCCTAACGATTCGGCCGATTGTTGCCCACCTCGCCGGAGTGTGTTCTGCCGTCTTCCCAGGCGAGGCAGTATTTAGACAATAATAATAGTAATAATAAATCTTATACATAACTCTCCAAAAAGCCGCAATCTTGAATACATGTAGAATAGTCAGAATTTTTTGTAGATAGTCGAAAACGATATTGCCCCTCATAATAACATACCGTCAACATAAAACTTCACTACACGCTTGGTTTAGGTCCGTGGATGTGGTTCAGCCAAAATGCTAAGAAAAGATTACCTATTCGAAAATAATAATAATCGCTATAGATTATGTTTTGTTGTATCTGTAAACAAATGCGAGAGAGTGCATAGAGTGTTTAATTTGAATTTTGTATTACAATTCTGATTGAAAATCGGGTCTATTTTGAACGCGAGCATTGCGCGAATGATTGGACAATTCAATTCACGCAGACGTGTATAATCTACGCACCCCGTGTACGTCATTGTCTTGGTCCATAACACTGAATAAACTAATAAAAATATGTTTTTTTTTCCTAACTGCTGGCTAGCTGGTAGCCTTTTCCAATTGGCGCGAACGGTATTAATGTCTCAGATCCAAAGTTTATGAATTCTGAAATTCAGTCAAGTTCAAAAATGAAAAAACATTTCATCCATACATTAGGTATATTACGTGAATTTTTCGGAGACTTACAAAGCCATAAAGTGATTGAGTTTATTAATACAAAGGTATACTTTTAAATAAGTAGGAAGAATGCTAAGAAATATTTCATATACCTAATTAAAATGTAAATAGTAAATATTTCAAAGGGTGACAGGCTATTTGGTTTAAGCGACGCTTCGCTTAATACCCCGACATTTATCTTTGTAATTAAAGGTGCATTTTATTTGATAATGAACAGTTCGATGTTTTTAATTGAAATTCAATTAAGCTTATTCTATTGAAATAGCTGAAGAAGTTTATTATCATGATATTTTTTCCAAATTTACAACTTTAAATGGCTTCCCTGTAAAGTTGTAAAAAAGTCGCTTAAGCCGAATAACCTTTCACTATTCGATTTGACCTTTTTTGTACTGTGTGATTACAGGTTCATAATTATCTTACTTTACGAACCAAATCAGAATTAAAAAATCAAAATCAAAACATGATTAAATATACCATCCACTGGAAGTGATGTATTGAAATGAAATGTAAAGTAAATGTTAGCTTATCTTGGCTTATCTCAACTATTCGTTAAAATTATTTCTATCGTAGCAAGGATTAATATGCCGCATAAAAACAAGATATTTCTACAATATTTTTATAGATGACCAATTATCCTCTGTTTTTTTCTCTTTCTTCTACCTATGCTGATAGCCTTGAGAGGCTATATCAGCGTGTATACCCTATACCTTAGCGTATACCCTAGCGTGTAGGTGAGCTCTCGGGGCTCAAAACCGGAGGTGTTGTTAACGCTGGCCTTAGCAAGAGCAGTTCTTCGCAGAATCTATCACCGGATCGGAAACGCGACCCACTGAGAAGAACCGGAGAGAAACTCAGTGGGCTGTGTCTGTGGGTTAATTTACTCGATCCTCGTTGCAAGCGACGGGTTCCTCTGTGATGATTGTATCCAACTAAATAAGATCGGTTCTTACAGTGCGTTTTATTGAATATAGTGTAAAATATAATGCAAATGATTATAGTTGGTTTCTGTAATATGTTAAATATAGCGAGCTGCATTCGACAAGGATAATATGGAGGGCTAGTTTTTACTCGAAAAAATCTTTAGGAAACCAAAATACACAGTTAAGGACGTTATGATTTCTGACGCGGTGTTTGAGAAGAGTTACCTAGGTTGAGGAGAGTCCTCACGGTCAGACCTCCAGTTGGCTCTCGAGGTCACTCACATCAGGAAGAGCAGTAGGTAGAGCCCCTGACTGGGTCGAGGGTTGTAGTTTCGATGCCCGCGTCAAGTAAACATTCAAGAGACGAACAGGTGGCTTTTATGGTAGGCAGTGGCATGGCTTAGCCCCTGGCATTACTAAAGTCGATGGGCGACGGTAACCACTCACCATTAGGTGGGCCGTATGCTCGTCTGCCTACATGGGCAGTAAAAAAAAGGTTTGTTGTTTTTCGCCTGGGTGTTTCCTATGTCGAGGGGTGAAAAGCTATTTGGATGAAGCGACATTTTCAAACAGGAGAGCCATTCAAAGTTTAAAATTAGGAAAAAATATCATAACAAATTCAACTTCTTCAACCAATTGAACGAGATAAAACTTAATGAAGTTCAATTAAAAATATCGAATTATTGATACTGTTACGCGCTGGGGCTCAGGATAAATAAAAATTCTACCGAATTACAAGCTAACACTGTATTAGCACTTAGACGACTTCACAAGCACTTTAAAATTCTCAATTCGCTTCTTCCGCTTCGCTTCAGGTGATCCGTTCGCTGTTTTGCTTCGAGTAGTTCTGATTACTGACTGACTGCGTACCATCTCCGCAACGCCTTTATAGCCAATACCACATCCCTAGAATTATCGAGAATATTCCACACATTTCGAGTATTGTGTTTCCGCTATCTGACAATAGATGGCGCTGTGCTTCTCGAGCGTCCTAGGTTCTACTAAATCCTTCTTTATCCGTTCGTCTATTCGGCGATAGATGGCGTTACTCTAACCGGCGTAACAATACTAATACCAAATAAAACGATCGAGCCTATTGCAAAGATAAATGTCGCATATCAAGTGAAATCAGCCAATCAGCCTTTCACCCATCGATATGTAGATAGGTACACTTATATATTTAGATATGTACATGTATATCAGTCTAGTTCCCAAACTACTGGGGCTCCTAATATGGGACCAAACAATTTGGCCTTGTTAATTTATTAACTAAAATCTGCACCATGAAGCAGTTAAGTGACATGATATTGTCACTATTTCGATATATGTAAACGTAAACATTTTTTTTTTGTCAACTCGGAATTACAAACTAAAGAAAAGTATTTAGTGTTTTACAAGTATTTTCTTATAGAAAAAAGAATAACACAAAATAATCACAATTAGTACCCTGTAATAGTCTGTACCTCTTTTGTTAAATTAGCCCATTTAAACAATTCTAGCTCTATATTGAATTGAAAAATAAATTTATCGTTTGGTCTGTTGGCAAAAGCGAAACTATGTCGGCCTCACTGGGGACAGCGGGACAGAATGCCCGAAAGCAGGACTGTCCCGCCCAAATCAGGACGTATGGTCATAGTATTTAAGTATGTAGGTATACAGGAGGTGTCTTTTGTAGGTCAAGATGGTTATAATTATAATATTTTGATTAAAGTTCAAGAATTGTATATAAAATTGGTGATCTAAATAGTTTTGTCTTGTGATAAAATTTGTAAAATATCTAATTAGCATACTTTTTTGGTGCACAAAGTGCTGTTTTGTATTTAGAATGAAATTTATTAAAAATAAATATTGTTTGTGCGTGTGTGTGCGTGTTTTTTTTTTCTTCTTAAACTTATTTTTTACGGTCGACAAAGTATGCACGAATACAATGTAAAACTGGTGATGCTGTGAATCCAGTCGGGTCGAAACCAATTCAGTGTGTAGCTAGAATAGCTTCTTGTCACCAGCGAATAGGTAGAGAAAAAAATATTCTAATTCTTTTTTTTTCCTACCTAAGGTGATGGTCTAGAGAGACCATATCAGCGTAACCTTAACTAGTAGGTGAGCTCACGGGGTTCAAGCCTGACGATGATGCTAACATGAACCCTAGCAAGAGCCATGCTTCGCAGAATCTACCACCGGATGGGAGACGCGACCCACTGAGAAGATCCGGCGAGAAACTCAGTTGGGCTGTGTCTGTGGGTTAATTCGCTCGTCGAGCCCTTCGTCGCAAGCAACGGGTTCGACGAGAACGATGACGATCAATCGAAAGCCTCATTGAGAACAAAGAGAAAGTTACCCTGGATTACCTAGTCGACGTGCTTAAGATTTATCCATCCATGCATCTGCGGTATGGAAACAAACTCGTCTGTACATAACCATTGCTCCAATTGTCGCCGCTTGATGTGGTTTCGGCGATCTCTATCATGAACTACAGCTCAGTGAATATTTGATTTTTCGATTTCTCCTTTTAGCAGTATCTTCTTTATATATTGTAGTATTGAGATAAGTATATAGCCACCGAAGTAGAGTTCATCCATACTACCTGGAGCCACTGCGGTCATGTCCGTTTTCAGAAGTCTTTTTTGCCACGTACCATCCGGCTATGGAATGAGCTCCCCTCCACGGTGTTTTCCGAGCGCTATGACATGTCCTTCTTCAAACGAGGCTAGTGGAGAGTATTAAACGGTAGGCAGGGGCTTGGCTCTGCCCCTGGCATTGCTGAAGTCCATGGGCGACGGTAACTACTCACCATCAGGTGGGCCGTATGCTCGTCTGCCTACAAGGGCAATAAAAAAAAAACGATTTTCTAAAGGTTCTAAGGATTTGCTGCCCTTAACGGGAAACGCAAGAAATATTTTTAATATTTCATGTTTAAATACATGTGCTGTTAAGAGTATACAATGCATGTCAGGTAGAGCATGAAGTTTAAAGGGCAACAATGGAATTGCCTCGGTAAAGAAGTGTGGAAGTAGTTAGATTCCTCTTCCACACATCGTCATTAAGTCTACTTCCAAGTATGTGTATATTATAACTGTATAATATGTTTTTACTAGCCGGGGTCATTGTGAATTTAGTATTGACTTATTGACATTTTTATATTAAGTCATGTCGATTTGTAGAACTAGTAACGCCATCTATTGAGTATTAGCATAAAAATATTAAAACTTTAAAATATTACATTAAATGTAGATGTCATGTTTTTTTTTTATGGACCGAGTGTAAAGAAATTATAGTTTTTATTTATTTATGCATGCAATAAACTTCGGACAAAAAATGCTATCAAAAATACTTAAGTATAGGATGGCGCCATTATATTATTATGTCAAGAGTATATAGAGAGTTATATAGGAAAATTACAGTGTTTAAATAAGACGAATGTTTGTGAATTAAGCGGTTTTTATTTCAATTCAGCTGATACCGATGCAAGATGTTGATAGTATAACGGGGAAACGTAACACATTTTTCTAAAAATATATACGAAATATATACTCGTTGGATGCAGGTGGCAATGGACCGGTCGCACTGGAAATCTATTGGAGAGGCCTATGTTCAGCAGTGGACGGCGATAGGCTGAAATGATGATGATGATATACGAAAAAACACAGCGAAATTAACTTTTTTTTTTAAAGATTGTCATACAAAAAATCGTTGGCACTCCGAACATTCTTTGGGTGCGATTTCTTCATGTTTCTGTATGGCTACAGTATTTATTCAGCGAATATAACCTCGTTCACTTTCTGGTCTTGTTCGTTAGTCGGCACCATGTCGACAACTTGGCAGTTAAAAGCCACTGCAACAATCTAAATTGAAAGTAATTATATCATTAGAAAAACAGATTTACCTATGACTAATAGGTAGGGCGAGGTCGTTTTGTCTATTATATTAATAATCAGACTTTTCAACTAAAATGTACTTACCTACGTACCTAATTGGTACCCTAATTTAAGCCATAGACACAGCCCACTGAGTTTCTCGCCGGATCTTCTCAGTGCGTTTCCGATCCGGTGGTAGATTCTGCGAAGCACTGCTCTTGCTAGGGCCAGTGTTAGCAACACTCCGGTTTGAGCCCCGTGAGCTCACCTACAGGTCAAGACGAAGCTGAAATAGCCTCTCAAGGCAATCAGCATAGGTAACAATAAAAAAAAGGGAAGACATTGCTGTCGGTCTGTTTGCTTGTTTATCAAACATCTCGTAGAAAGCTTCATATACCACCGACTTCATATACCAGCGACCCACTGAGAAGATCCGGCGAGAAACTCAGTGGGCTGTGTCAGTCTGTATAGATGATTATTGCTAATGAGTTTTCTTTGTGCACAGAGAGAGCTGACAGTTTTAAACGTTAAGATTAATAGAAAATTAAACCGTGAAATCGGTTTCAATAATACCTGCCACTAGTGAAGATCTAATGAACTAGTATAGATATTACTACATAACGAAAGACAAAGATATACATAAAAATAATATTATACCCTTTTCTCACCTAAAATTGTAGAGCAGTAGCTGCTCATTAAAACTGTGAGACGCATTCAGTTTTTTTATTTATTTTTATTGCTTAGTTTTGTGGACGAGCTCATAGCCCGCCTGGTGTTAAGTGGTTACCGGAGACCATAGACATCTACAACGTAAATACCGCCACCCACCTTGAGATATGAGTTATGAGGTTTCAGTATAGTTACAACGGCTACCCCACCCTTCCAACCGGAACGCATTACTGCTTCACGGCAGAAATAGGTAGGGCGGTGGTACCTACCCGTGCGGACTCACAAGAGGTCCTACCACCAGTATATCTTACTTGAGAAAGACAATTTGCAGTTTACCTTCGGAGCTGTTTCTGGATTGAGCCTCAAATTAGTGATGAACTTGTCGTAGTAGCCACCTCCGTGTCCCAGCCTGTCTCCGGATCGAGAAAATGCCACCCCTGGAGCTATGATCAGATCTAATCCACCTGATTCCAGAAACGATATATTAAATACCACTTAGCGTATTGGGATGACTCATAGTTTGTACTAAAAGTAGTTTAACGCAAAATAAATAAATAAAATAAATAAATATTTACTAACGATCACGCTTCGTTAACTGGTCCCGTGGTAAGTTCGTAAAGAACTTTTGTTACGGGTACCAGATAACGGAAATAAATGTAAGATTTTTATTATACACATACATATATTTAATATACATCCATAATCCTGGAAAAGACATTTCATATTTTTCATACCAATATCTTCCCTTGGCGGGATTCGAACCCGCGACCCCCTTGTGTAGTGACCATGTCACTTACCACTACACCTGACGGCCGTTAAATATATAATAAGAATATTGTTAAGATTATCGTAAGCTTCCTTCTGCATATGTAATTTAAACAAATAAATAAAATTGGAATGTCTGTTTGTAATAATAATATAACCACTTTTTACTAAATGCGTAAGTATGTATACCACAGTACATAATTATACCAAAATATATATTTTTTTAATTTTTGTCTGTCTTTCTGTTTGCCGGCTAATCTCTGGAACGGCTGGACCGATTTTGACCTTTCACTGATAGGTAGCTAATGATATAAGGAGTATCTTAGGCTACTTTCTTTAGACTAGCTTCGCCCCGCGGCGTCGCCCGCGGTACGAATACGAATAACCGTGGGTAACATCGTGGGACTCGGCTATCAATAATAAAATTTAATGTTTCCGAAGCGAAGCAAGGGCGGGTAGCCAGTTAACAATATGAGTAGAGATAAGGGTCATGTAAATTTTCTTTATATCTTTGTTATAAAATGTACGCAAATTAACGAAAAAAATGGCTGACAATTACCTACACGAAAAGTGAAATTTCACAGTATGTTAAAACGATGTCTTTGCGATTCGGAGCGTGCCTAACGAATATAAATTATTCAGAAGGATCCTAGTTCTAGTTCAAGCGACGTAAACCAAATTACAGATGTTTGTGAATCAACATTGAGGTTAAATCTAAACAAGATATACACAGACGTAATTTTCACTTGTTAAAACACCGTAGTGATTGCGCATCCAAATGGCTTAAAATTAAGAAAATAATCAGACTCTCTATTGGTGGTAGGACGTCTTGTGAGTCCGCACGGGTAGCTACCACCACCCTGCCTATTTCTGCCGTGAAGCAGTAATGAGTTTCGGTTTGAAGGGCGGGGCAGCCGCTGTAACTATACTGAGACCTTAGAACTTTTATCTCAAGGTAGGTGGCGGCATTTACGTTGTATATGTCTATGGGCTCCGGTAACCCCTTAACACCAGGTAGGCCGTGAGCTCGTCCACCCACCTAAGCAATAAAAATTTATAAATAAAAAGACCTGTTCCTAGAGCATCATCCCTGGATTGGTCTTTCCCATGCTGAGATATCCCGTGTTTAGTTTTTGGCATGGTCTGCTCATCCCCGGTCTCCAAGTGTAACATCCTCATGCGTCCTCCGGCGTACTGTGGCACGAAGGCCGCAGCCCCTCTGGCTTGGATGTGTTTGATTAGAGGAGCAGTGTCTATCTCATTTTCGGTGCTCATGTAGAGAGCAATACGACTTGATGATTTGTACCATGAGTGGTTGATTACCTGAAACGGTGGGTTATTGTGGTTCGTAAAAGATTTGTGGCCTGAATCTGTTTTTTTTTCCTACCTAAGCTGATAGCGTTGAGAGGATATTTCATCGTAACCTTAGCTAGTAGGTGAGCTCAAGGGGCTCGAACTGGAGTGATGCTAACACTGACACTAGCAAGAGCAGTGATTCGCAGAATCTACTACCGGATCGGAAACGCGACCCAGTGAGAAGATCCGGCGAGAAACTCATTGGGCTAAATCTGGTAAGTTTTTTTTTTCTTTTATATCGTTCGTGTAGGCCAGTGATTATCAAACTTATTTCTTTTAACGCCCCCGTTTGAAAATCAATTATTTTTCAGCGCCCCCATTTTTATACACCCCTAAAACTTAAATACGAAGAAGACGATAATACGGCCCACCTGATGCTGAGTGGTTACTGTTGCTCGTGGATTTCAGCAGTGTCAGGGGCAGAGCTAAGCCGCTGCCTAACCGTATCATCAAAGCATTTCGATCAAAATTCCGTAAGTATTATTCTTTTTTATTCCCATACGAGTTATAGGTTATTTCAAAGTTTGACGAGACGATATATGAATATCCTCCTCACGAAACTATTATCTACCCGGTGAGATAAGATCCTCCTCGTGGCGGCTGCTTATGAATAATGCTCATAATGAGCATTTCAGAGCGTGCACATTTGAGAGAGGCGACAATTTGAATAATTTACATTTTTATTGAAATAACTGATGACATTATGCTCGACTCGAACGTTTGCCAGTCCTCAAATGTAGCATATAAAAACCTGTATCAGTTAAGTAAAACCTGTTCCAGGTCCTACCTGTCCTGTGCCTACATGAATCAGGTATGCTTATACTGAAAGCACTGAAGACTGCCTAAAATAGAGACACGTGGAGACGAATTGTGCAGCAAATGATCAGATAACAGTCTTGGAACTTGGCACGACTTTCAGTAATGAGGATATCAGAGAACGAGGATGAGGAGACGATGTTTTAAGAAGCCCTCAGCTATAACCAGCTATAATTGGCTGAGCATTTCCGACGGCTATACGACGGTTGACACTTCCGGCAGGCCTCAAAGGGAATTTTTACTGGTGGTAGGACGTCTTGTCGTGAAGCAGTCATGCGTTTCGGTTTGAAGGGGGCCGTTGTACTGTAAAAACGGAGACATAGAACTCATGTCTCAAGGTGGGTAGCGGCATTTACATTGTAGATGTCTATGGGCTCCGGTAAATCACGAGGGCCGTGAGCTCGTCAACCCATCGCAGCCATAAATAAAAAAATAATATAATTATGTCGCTTGCGTTTTACCTTTTCATAAACAATTTGAGATTGTCTTTTTTTCTCTTCATTCGTCAAGGCGGCGATTTTAGCGGCAATTTCGTTACGTAGCAAGGCTTTGGCAGGATTTGGTTTTATTGGACTCATTCTGCCTCCTAGTTGCACTGTAACAAAAACAGTACAGCTTAGAAGTTTATATATGAACCATTATTGGTGCTCACTGGAGATATTAATCAGGAGATCACCTTTTGTAAACATGAGGCTAAAATCTTAACTCTATTGGAGAGAGTCTCCACCTTATTCTTCAAATTGGTGCTGCATCACTGCTACGTGGTATTTCATTCGTTATTATTGTCGTATGTTATTATCTTAAATAACGTATCGTCAATAGTTTAATATTCTTGAAATAATTTTTATGGAAGTCAGATGAATGTGTTTGATCACCGATTGGAATATGACCCCATCCTCTTTGACCTAAATCCTTTGACTTATAACTAAACTAAAGTAAACAAATTCTCATTCTATTATCTAACTTTCGGTGTAATGATTTGAGTACTGAACGCTTGCCTACGTTTGCCGCTAGGGGCGCTGTTCCAACTCCATACAAATTTGAGTTAACTTTTACGCTATGGAGAACGTTAAAAAACTCGCACTAAGGAAACTGATGATACGCCCTAAATAAAAGGGGTAAATTTATTACAGTTAACCGTTAAATTAAGTTAATAAATTAAGTAAATTTCGGATTTTTTGGATTTCGCCATACACTCTGCAGATTGTAAAATACCAAAGTGTCGTGACACGGTAGTTGAGAGCCGCTGACCTAACTCATGGGGTGTCAATGAACCTTTAGTAAAATTATACTCCTCCTTTTCTAAATATGAATTCATTGAAAAAATTGCATGAATATGTAATTTATATGATCGTTTTTCATCGTGTTAGGTAGGTTTAAATCGTAAGTAGGTTTTTTACTGGTGGTCGGGCCTCTTGTGAGTCCGCATGGGTAGCTACCACCACCCTGCCTATTACTACCGTGAAGCAGTAATGCGTTTCGGTTTGAAGGGTGGAGCAGCCGTTGTAACTATACTGAGACCTTAGAATATATATCTCAAGGTAGGCGGCGCATTTACGTTGTAGATGTCTATGGGCTCCAGTAACCACTTAACACCAGGTGGGCTGTGAGCTCGTCCACCCATCTAAGCAATAAACAAAAAACAAAAAAAGGTAATCTGACCACAATTCGAACTCAAACTACTAACCCACATTCAGTACCTACATACTACCAAACTACAAATACATAGTACCAAACTTTAAAATGTTTTGATAAAAAAACAAATGGCTGATTTACTATTTATAGATTACACATAGAGACAATTGTTATTATACATTCACTAAATTCGCTGAGTTAATTTAAAACAAGGAATAAAGTTGATTTTATAACACACTTTTGTTTAATCAAAACAAATTGAATAATTGTAAGTAAGTTAATATTTCCAATCATATCTACGTAAAACACGTACCAAGATAACACGGAGAAAGCCACTTTATATCAACTCCAAACTGATACTGAACATTCACAAGTCAAAATCATGAGAATCGTTTTATTATCAAATCGTGTTGATACGGAACATGACCCCGACATAACCAAAACAAACATAATTTACTTGTCTTTACATGTGCGTTTTGTGTTGCGAGCGCCATCTTTTAGTTTGAATTAGAACTATTTGAAAAAGGTTTCATGAATTGCTTGCGACTACTGCCGCCATCTTGTTTTGCTAAATGAGGTTTGTTATCAAGCATAGCTATGTTCATTGTTCATAGGTAATTTATTAAGTTGTTTATTAATAAGTTGTTATTTTACGGAGCATGCGTGAAATTTCACTGCAGTATTTGTCCTTAAGACCATTTTGTGCGACATCTATCTTAAATAATTTTAGCTGTGAAACGTTCGAATTTGGGTTCTGAAGATTTCAGTTTTCTGTAAAAAAATGTCATTCTTTTTATAGTTTAGATAGGTCGACGAGCTCACAACCCACCTTTCGTTAAGTGGTTACAATCGGTGGTACAATAGGTGGCTCACAATCCCATCCGGTAGTAGATTCATTCGCGAAGCAGCTACTCTTGAGTTGTTTGTTAGGTCTCCTTTGGAGCTCGGGGTCGCTCGGGTAACTGTTATTGAATCCCACCCGTCCTGGCTGAGCCCTTGCTCGCCCTAGTAAAACTGGAAAGGCCTTCGGGTCACCAGTAATCTCTCAAACATAAAAAAAAAACTGCTCACGAGATGCCCTATACTTACTGGTGGTACAACAGACTTTGGAAGAGAAAACCGTTCGCCTAATTATATCTACTCTGACCATCTCTGTATATTTCGTAACACCTGCACTGTTTAATTTGTAACAGTTTGTCAGAAACACCATTACTCCGGCATAAAGAGTTCCATTGCCACTCTCTGGTCCATAAACTACGATTTCTTGTTTATTATAGCAGACATACTCGGTCTGGGTCATATTATTTACCGTGATTTTTCCCTACCTATTCGCCGGTAGCCAAGGGACTAAGTATTCCAGGTATACCGTTATAAAAAGGATATGAACACATACTTTCGCGTTTTAAACGAATCTTGTGCAAAATTTAATCCAAGTCAGTTCCGTTCTTCTAAAAACGTCTTAAACGCACCTTATTTCAGCACGAAATTATAATAAATAAATAAAACATGCTGAAGCAGTCGTTTTTTTTCGTGTTTCCAATTTATTTTAGGCACGTGTTTTTATGATTCTAAACTCGTCGGTTTAATTTCAGTCCAATGAATAAATTATAAATCTACAAATGACTGGCGGCGGAATAGGGTTGTCGTATCACAAGATTATGTGGAGCGATTTTATGTTTTTATGGAGTGTTTAAACCTGAGCCCATTGACACTTATGTGCATGACGTCATCCACCGTGACACGTCAGATCGAAGTCTCAATTGGATTGCCTGACGATCTTCAGGCGGAACGCTTTACAGCAGAAATAGGCATGGTGGTAGGAAGTTATCAGTAATTACCGAAGTTCTTTGATATCATAATGAGACACATGAGACGAACCGCACGTTCCGCTCAGTATTAAGCTCGAAATGAAAATGTTGCGTCAATTGTGTATAAAAGTTGTCCTACCTTAAGACCTTAATACTTGCTACGCGCAAAGTCGTGTCTAGCCTATGTAACGCCTATGTGCAATCAAACTAGTGCCTTCTAGTAAACGCGCGATCAAAATGGAATAGTTTTTTTTTTGTGAATGAGGAATTACTGATTGCCCAGATGACTTTCCAGTTTCACAAGCACAGTTTTATTGGTGGTAGGACGTCTTGTAAGTCCGCAAGGGTGGGTAGGTACCAACTACCACCCTGCCTATTTCTGCCTATTTCTGGCGTGAAGCAGTAATGCGTTTCGGTTTGAAGGGTGGAGCAGCCATTGTAATAACTATACTGATACCTTAGAACTTATATCTCAAGGCGGGTGGCGCATTTATGCTGTAGATGTCCATGGGCTCCAGTAACCACTTAACACCAGGTAGGCTGTGAGCTCGTCCACTCACCTAAGCAATAAAAAATAAATAAGAAAAGGTGGGTAAGCCAAGAGGGGATGTAATATGTACAAACGTAACAGGCTCATTGAAAGTGCCTAGGCTGGCATCTCCTAAAACCGCTGCCCCCACTCACCGCAATATGGATAAAGCCGTCTCTGGCTGCGCAACAGAAACAACCTGGATGATGCGATTCGTAATAGACCGTTGCAAGACTATACGTAGTGGCAAAATTTTTAAAATTAGAAATAGCGGTTTTCAATGACCGCCATCTTACACCATTTTTGTGGTAGGAATAGGAATTAAAGTTTTCAATTTAAAATTACTCTTCTGAAAAAAATATTTAAGACTCCGTTATTGACTTGAAACGACGCATCCCTAACTTACGGATCGGGGTGCTCATGGAATACGTCAATAAAATTTCGCTTTCATAATCGGAAATGATCAAATTAATCAATTTGTATCATTCGGATTTGGTAGTGAAAATAGGCAATCTCTTTTTTGGCTTATCTGTGGTAATTATCGTTGCATTATTTTGGCGGGAATTTAGTCACATGTTTAAAAATTAACTATTTTTATTGAATACGTAATGTAGGTAATGTGTGTAATAAAAATATATTTTTCTGGTTCGCACCACACCATAGATTAGTTTTATATAAAAATTGTGTCACGAAAATCCCATTAAATAAATTCGAAATATCGATCTATAATAGTGTTTTAATTATACACGACATATTTGTTTTTGTTGATTGAGAGCCAGTAGGTAAGTATTTAACAGTTTTGTTTTATTATTGTAATGAAATGTCAATTTTGTAATGACAATGTTTTTTTTGCCCAAGTCATGCGTTTTGTAAAGACGTACAGTTTTTTTGATGCGCTATTTTTAGGTTAGATTGTTATCTCTGAGTTAGGAAGAACCTGGAACGGGCAATCGGTGCTAAAGGTCAAGGACTGATGAGGCAGAAACTGGGGCGAAGGAGAGAAAACCTATGATCGAAAACTATTACCAAATAAATCAAATCTATATATTTATCTACAGCTTTTTACGAGGGCTGCACTAAAAGTATCGGGAATGGAATATTTCCACTGTTCCTGTCATATTAAAATCTTTTTAATTGAAAACTCCTTGGTTTTAAAAATCGAATACCATTTATTTATTTAAAAAAAGATTCTCGGTCTTGTCACGAGGTTTTGTCAAACTTGTTTAGTCGTTGAGAAAATGGAATTGACTCGAGAAAATTCAAGAGCGATGATTTATTATGACTTTCGAAGTGGTTTAACACAAAAACAGTGTGTTGACCGGATGATTTCTGCATTTGGTGATGAAGCCCCATCCAAAACCACAATTTATCGCTGGTTTGCTGAGTTTCAACGTGGACGTGTCAAGCTCAGTGATGATCCCCGTCAAGGTCGTCCAAAAACTGCAGTCACCCAAGAAAACGTTGATGCTGTGCGTAAGCTGATTGAGGAAGATCGACATGTGACAT